AGAATTGAAAGAAGCCATATTCTGACCATTTGAAGTAAAAAAGAGACTTTACAAAGGTAAACACCAGTTACTAGTAGCATGATTTTGTGAGAATTACGTATCATTTTGTTAATAGCCGTAACAGCTGAATTGAGGGGGCCTGGCTTTCCTGATTCTCCAGAGTAGTCTGGCTGAACTTTTGCACTGCAGCCTTTGCCCTGAGATTCCAGATAGTATCTCCCAGTGTAAAATTCAGAGTTGACTACAATCAAATACCTTTGTTTACATGCTAGCTATGTACTTTTTCAATAGTTGATCTTAAACAAAGTGACCGTTTCCCTTTCTACTTAGATAATACTTAGGCATAAAAAATTGTTCCCCCCCATTACATACTACTGTTGTATATAATTTGCCATTCAGGAGGCAGAGAGAAGGTGACCCTCAGCCTCTAAAGTAAGAGTAGCAATAAGGAAAGTAAGTTTCTTACACAAAACTTCTGGCTGGTCTGAAGTACTCCCATTCCTCAAGATACTAACGAGATTTCTTTACATATCCATCAGGTGGATGTACTGGAATCTCAGTTCTCACAGCTTCTGCAGCAGATAAATGCCACGCGAGATTTTGAGAGTATACGATTGGCTCATGATCATTTCTTAAGTAATCTGTTGGCTCAGTCTTTCATCCTCCTAAAACCTGTAAGTAGGTCTTGTTTTCACCTTTTCCTACAAATTCTCCAACTGCCCTAAGAAACACACCTTTTTGAACAGATAAGACAAACCATCTCTTTTAAAAAACATCAGTGATAATCTCCTGCAGAGCACAGACTACAATTTTGGGAATAAAGCAGGTATAGACTAGAACAGATAATTGAATTAAGATCACTTAATTTACAGTTGGTGAGTGTGGATGCTGTATTCCTGGCAATTTTAAATCAAGGTTAACTGAATACTGGAATAATCTTATTAACTTAAATTTTGTCACTGTGTTTTTCTCAGGCAATTTTATTAAAGTACTAATTAGCTTAGTGCTGGGAACTGTATTCCTGAGGGACTCATTCTGAAATGCATTAGATTAGGAAAATTTCCCTCTCAGACTTTAGAGGATAAAAATAGTTGGGATGTTCCTGAGTGGACTTTAAGGGTGTTTTTTATTGTTGTTTTAGTCAAAAATATGTTACAGTGTTGCTGGTATTTTTATGAAACATGTAGCCTCACAACAACATTCCCAAAGAAGGCTGGTATCGATGAAACACAGTGATACCGCAGGTCTTGTCTGTTTCATTATTTTGCTCAGTCTATGAGGCGATAGCATAAAGGTGGCAGAATACTAATTATCCAGTCTGGAACTTTTAAGTGTTCCAGCAGTTATGTCTGTGAGGCATTTGGGCTTGCTTAACACTCTTGAATGCAAGTTACCTTGACCAACTGATACAAAAGAAATTCCAAGTTTTGTGAACAGTGAAACCAAGGCCTTGAACCACAGCTCTTGCTGTTCCTTAATTCTTCCTTCTCCATCCCGAAGCTGCAGCGATGGCCTGCTGGTTGGACAGGGAAGCCAATGCACTTCTGTGCCTATGTGGATGGCTCATGCCAATCGCTGTTGCCCCAGCAGCGTCTGCAAAAGGTTGGGGGTGGGGGGGAAAGATGCAGCGTAACATTTAAGTCCTTTTTCCGTAGAAAACCTTACAAAAATGCTACAGGTGCTTTAGCATCCTCCTTACTGATTGAAAAACATGGTATCAGCAACATCTTGATTATGAACGCTGCAACTTTTCAGGTACTAAGAACAGCTTTCTCTGGGTTTGAACTCTGTTTAAACTATCTTGTACTATCTTGTACTTTTTATCCCTTGCAGGTTTTCCACTGCTTAAATGAAATTCTGGATCTTTGTCATAGTTTTTGTTCTCTGGTCAGTCAGAATCTGGGCCCATTAGATGAACGGGGAGCTGCACAACTCAGTATTTTGGTGAAGGTGAATCTATGTTTATGTGGACCTTTTCTTCTCCCATGCAAACATTTACCTAAGCAGTCATCTTGGCTTTAACAGCTGTAGAACAGGAGTGAGTTTAAGCTGAGACCTTCTATATGAGTGCTTGCAATGATTTTAATTAATCAACTGTTCCTGAGTCGAAAATTCTATGTGCACGGAGAGGAGGAATGTGGGCAGATATGCAGAAATTACCCTATTGTAATAAAGGAGGTGGATATCAGCCTGTGCCTCTACCCCTCCCTTTGGATACCTAACACCTAATAATTCTTGTGGCCGACAGCTTACCTTATACTGGACCAGAAGCATCACTTCTCTTGCAGCGATTCTTTTCTTCAGGCTGTTAAAGGATTGTTTAGGCAGGAACAGAGATGAAAGGCTTGCTTGCTTGCTTTCTCTCTTGAGAGTGCCCAGAACTGACTTCTTCTAACTTCTAGGGATTCAGTCGTCAGTCATCGCTTCTCTTCAAGATTCTCTCTAGCGTTCGCAACCATCAGATAAACTCTGACTTAGCTCAACTGCTGCTACGCTTGGATTATAACAAATACTACACCCAGGCTGGAGGAACCTTGGGCAGGTAGGAATATCTTCAGGGTTTTATCCTGAGGTATGTGAAGTACAAAGTGATCTAAATGATCATCAGTCATTTTTATTGATTGTGTAAGCCAAAATAATTAGAAGCAAAGTGTTGCTAAATACTATGACAGAAAAGTAACAAACCAGCATTGAGTTAATTTTTGGTTTTCATAGGCTTTCTCCCCTTCAAGTTTGTTTTGGCATGACGTTGAACTAGCTGCTAGCTCATATTGGCTGAAAAATGCTGATGTGGGTTGATAAAGGGAGTTCCTTTCAACATGTAGTTAATATTGTACCCTTCTCTTGCAGTTTTGGGGTTTAAGCACCAAGACCTTTTCTTCAGGCTGTGACCAACAACGCGTCAAGCAGTGGAGACTGGTGCTCTTGGAGAGTTTGCACTCAACTGAATTTTTCTTTGTAGCTGGCCCTTGCCTGGTGAACCACTGTTTCAGAAGGAATTGGCAGGAAGGGCCACTTATGTGAGGCTGCCCAGTGATTGCAGAAAGCTACTCCATTTTTCTGAACTAGTAAAAACATGCTTTCTGCAGCCCCGCGTATACTTATAAATGCTTCTAGGGAGGCATTCTGTGCCTCTTCAGGAAGTGAAAAAGCAACAAGAATTACAATGTCTTGGCTCTTCAACTGGACTATGATCCTTTGCAAGTTGGAGTATGGAGGAAGTAGTCTGCTGTTCTTGACAATGAATGAAGTTTTGGCTGTATTCAGAAGTTCTACTTGTGCAGTAAACTGATTTACAGTACACAATGTCCGCTAATCAAATACATACCTCCAGGAAAATGAAACAACTGCAATAGCAGTTTGAGGTAAAGGGGGAGGGAAGAAGGAATAGATTTTAAGAATCTCTTCTCATACAGTGCACTGTTCTAGCATATCTTTATATGTAAAGGAGCCACTAGTGATATCACATGCTTTCTCTATAAAACTTAATAGATTTTGTGTGCTAAAATTATGCACATCAAGACAGAAGTAGGAGCTTTGCCCTACTCAAAGTACAAAGCTCCCTCTGCTGGCAGAAAAGTGTGCTAGAGCTAAAACTAAGGAGAAACTTACTTAACTAGGATGTCAGCTCTAAATGTACTGTTTTCATTTAAGACTCTTTAGAATGCTACTAGTGACTATCCTACTGAACCAAAATAAAACCATCTTGTCATGCAGTTATGTGGAATATTGTCAATGTCTGCACCTCAGTGCAAAGGGACTAGAGTGGCACAGCATCCTATTTCAATGAAAAGCAGTATCTGGCAGGAACTTCTTGCATGTTACTAAGATTTCCTAGCCTTGCAGTAACAAACAGACTATCTTGCCTAAGTCCATTTGGATGAGTGGCAGAAGAGAGCCTGTCACTGGGGTGTAGTATCAGCTTTCCCAATTTGAACACAAAGGCTGCCAGGAAACCAGCCTTCTCCTCAAAGGGTTGGTATTTTCACAGTATCTGAAGCTGCAGCTCTTGAGAAAGTTACATGTCCTTGGGGGAAAAAAAAAAAAAATCCTCTGCTCACTCAGAAAGACACAGTAACAACAGACAGCAAGTATAAGGCCTGGCATCTTCAATGCACTACAGCTGTTCATGGTAGGACTGTGCCTGATGCGAAGTTTAAAATCCCGTGACCATGAAAAAAGCTAGAAAACTGCAGAAAGCGTGCTGAAGTTTGGATGTGGGATTTACAGACCAACACAGACAGAAGGTGACTGAGCTAGGAAATGATAGGGGAAAAAATATGCATCAAGAAAAACTTACACTTTTGAAGTAGGGGACTAAAGACTCTGTACGAGGCTGGGTGGAGGCCTGGGTATACCTCTAGCCTATAGCATTGTTAAAGAGCTGTCAAACTCAGCTTTTGCCTTTTTGCCAGTTGACTGCTAAGATAAAGTGCCTGGCTGTGAATGCAGCAGCTCAGCAGCAGATTATTTACCCCATTACCATTCCAACAAAGATACACAGCACTTACGTGCTCTTTGCACCTCGATCTCCCAGCAGTTTAGTTGTCCTAGGTCCCTGTGTCTATCTCTCTACTTAGGTAGTGCCAGTCTGCACTAGGGCAGGTTAATACCTATATAGTCACAACAGGAAAAAAAGAGAGGTAGCCGAAACAAAATGGCACTTTGTCCTAGAAATTCTTACCAGTCACTTCAGCAACATCTTGATGAAATTCATGGAAAAATGAATTTCTGAATTTTTGTATTCTTCCAACAAACAGAAGTGCTGCTGCTGCCCTGAACTTGCTCATAGAGTATTCACTTCTGCAAATACAGGCTGCCAGTTGAGAACACCTTTCCCTTCCTTTATAATTGACTTTGTGTTGAGGTCAGCCTTTTCTGAAAGTAGAATATTAGTGCTATTCAGCTTAGAGAAATGTAAGCATTTCTTTTCTCTCTGCCCTCCTCCTCTGGAGGCACAGCCCTGCAATAAGTTTAGATAAATGAGGAGTCCCAGCAGCTACCACAAGAGATCGAACATTTATTTCATCATAAAAGTCCAGCAGATAAAACTATATACAGTAATCCATGCACACTGTCCAATTACACAAACATTTAAAACCTGATTAAAACACAGTCTGCACAACAGTGGGACAGCAGGGCAAAGTTTTAGTTTAGTGGGGGACATAGTCATGTTTATACTTTGGATGCTTGTAGCCTACTCTCTCCCCAGCAATAAGGCTCTGGATCACCCACTCTTGCGAGACAACAGGCAGCCGTAAAGCTTCTGCACACTTCAAGATACCAGCTGGGCAGGAAAAATCAGTCACCACCACGTCATAAACACCCAAAGCAATATCTGCACAGGAGGAAAGACAGGCATCTGTCAGGTGAAAAAAAGAAAAAGGATCTTCTCTGCAGCAGCAGATCAGTGTGTTTCACCACTGTGAATCTCTCTTTCATGTTCTCTCATTCCTAGCCAGTGAATTCTCTTCGTAAATGTTAAGATGTACTCTACAGCAGCACTGCACCTTGCAAGTACAAGACTCCCTCTAGTCCAGATAGAAATTAACAGAAAACCAGCAGGCAGCATTACAGGCAGGACTAGATAACCGTGAGTCCTGACCTCAGGCTGTGAGTACTAGGGCCTACATCCCATATGAAGAGGGAAAGACAGTTGAATTCAGAAGGACAAGGAAGCACAATTTTAGTGGCCTACAGAAGGTCCAGGAGCAACTCTTGCCTATTTCTCCCTTTCAACATAGGCTGGAAGCTGATGGCTTGTGTCCTGAATTGCTGCAGCATCTCCTTCTCTGGAAGGTAGATCTTCTGGATGTAATCTTCTAGATTACATTCAAGCAGAGAGCTAGTGTCTGCACTTTGCCTTCCTTTATGCTTAGACAACCTTCTAAGCCATCCTAAATGGTTTTAAACCATGCTAGAGACCACAGTGGCATGAGATTCCCCACTACTAGGCCTGAGAAACTGGCCAATGAGTACCTTTGTTGTGAGCATTTGAGTAATGCTGTTTAACAGATGCTGCTCCCCCCGTCATGAGGATTTCAGACCACAGATCCAGGAAGTTCTGCTGCTGATCTGACACCAGGAGAACCTTCAGGTTATGGAATGGGTTTTCTCGTGGGTGCCTGTAGAATAAACAAGAGAAACGCAGACTGCTAAGAATATCCAGTAGTCTGAAACCATATTTGAGGACCATTATCTACTTCTAGTCACCTGACTGGCTCCCATATTGGTTCTTTGAATATCTTGCATACAATGACCTAATCTCTTACCACCCCTCCTGAAATACTTGGAACAATTATCCTCTGTTCATATGGACAGTAAAACAGAGCTAGACAACATTGGTGGGGTGTGTGTGCAGCAGCCTAAACCCAAAGTTAGGCTAAGCTCCTCCTTAATCCTGAACCACCTTTTCTGTGCGTATCCAAAACACCTCCGCTTTGACAGGGCTGAGCAGGCAGGCACCAGGCTCCTGCCCAAAAGCCCACAGAGATTTACAAACTGCTTTTGTCCACCCCTCACCTTGCCTGAGGATTCCGACCTGACAATTGTTCTCTCAGACCTACTGGATTAAACTCCATAGAAAACACAGAAGCTGGCTTCAAAACGTACCAAAGGAAAAGGAAATTGCAGTAGTATTGCTCTCCTTTATCCACTTCTGAGCAATTAGAGAAGTCAGCCAAGTGTATGGGAAGCCTTGCCTGAATTCAGTCTTCCTCATGAGGAGACTGACATCTTTCTTACTTCCCAGGAAACTGTCTTTTTTGTGTATATGGCACCCAAATGTACCTTGACATTAGAGGTCACTGTAAATCCAAGGAAAGAGAAGGAAGTTCTGTTCCTGTATGGAAGGGAAAGCATGGGGAGCAGTACTAGGGACACCTTCAGTACTTGTAGTATTCAAGAACCTCCCAAGCATAACAATTCTCTCTGATTAAATCCTTGGTCTGTGGACTCAGATCATGGTTATTTGGCACTTACCATTCCAGCAATTTTTGCTCCTGGAGGCTATAACCAGCTGGCAAAAGGTAATTCCGATAATTTTGAAGCTGGTTAGCATGACAGCTATCATGGACCCAGATATGAGACACACAAGGGATCCCTCTGGCAAGGCACAGCAAGTATTTCCGAGTTCGACAATGCTGGTCCGCAATTAAAAGACACTGATACGCTGCATTACACTTCAGGGGAGATGAAAAGACATGTAAACGGGAGACAGTGCTTGCAAAAAAACCCAGAAGTTATCCTGCTGCTAAACACTTTAAAGAGGAAAACAATTGAAACCCTGATTTTCACAGCCATATTATGTGAAAGGTGAATTAGATAAACAGATTCTGAAAGCAGGAGTACCTATAATAATCACTTATTTCAAGCTATGCAGTTCACATGCAAAAACTCTGCCTAGTAGTTTTTGTATCATAACTGTCTCTTCCAGTTCAGACAAAGGAGAAGATCCATCTTTTAGTTTGAGACTCAGTAAGTCACTAGAGAAGTCATCAGGCAAGATGCTCCAAGAACAATTTACTCTCTCTTACTTAAATTTAGATTTTTAATAAAGTGACACTAAACTAAACTAAATTAGTTGTCCAAGTAGATCTGGTAAGTGAAGAGTGAAGAGCTCTACCTCTAAGTGTTCTGAGGCACAGACCTGTGGTGAGACCACATCTGGAGTACTGCATCCACTCCTAGGTTCTGCAGTACAACAAAAACACAAGACACACTGGAGCAGGTCCAGCCAAGGGCCACTAACGTATCTAGGCATTGGAGCATCTGACATACAAGAAGAGGCTGAGAGAGCTGAGCTTGTTTAAGCTCAAGAATGGAAGGCTTGGGTGGTCATACAACGCATATTCATGACTGATAGGAGGGTGTACCAAAGATGGAGCCAGACTCTACTCAGTGTTATCCACTAAAAGGACAAGAAGCAGCAGGTACAAATTGAAATACAGAAATTCTATTTAAATAAATAAATAAATAAATAAAATTGCGAGTGGTCAAACATGGGATCAAGTTGCCCAGAGAGGTTGTGGAGTTTCCATCCTTGAGGATACTCAAAACCCAAGTGGACAAGGACCTAAGCAATCTGCTCTATTTGATCCTGCTTTCAGCAGGGGGGCTGGACAAGATAAGCTATGGAAATTCCTTCCAATCTCAACTATTCTGTGACTATCGTTCTAGATTAGTAGGTGAGCCCTTACCTGGGTTTCATTGAAGTCTTCCAGGATATAGCCAGCTCCTGCTCGCAGCTGCTGTGCTATGTAATGTTTGTCGTATGGAGTCATCTCTAAAAATTCTACAGCAGAAACAGAAAGTTCAATTTTTGGCTATAATCTATCTGCTCACATCCACACAATCCTCAGTCTACAGAGCCCTCATCCATTCCAGTAAGGGACCCCAACCTTCATCCCAAGAATATCTAGGGAAAACCCCTGGAAGAGTCAAAAAAAAAAAAAAAAAAAGGCGGAAAGGGAAGCACTGTACTGGCCAAACTAGCCAAGTGAGCACCTTGTCACTTCTTTTCATGCTGCAGTTCATTGCATGAAACACGACCCTAGCAAAGGCAAACTGGAGCAACCTGTTCATGCTTTCGAGTCCTATGTTTCCCAGCACTATCCCTCATCTCTCAAAACCTTCCTTCTCGTATTATAGTATTCTGAGACTGCTGATTTCACTAATTTTCACGCCTTTCTTAACTTGCTGAACAGCCCTATGATCATCATTGAGGTTTGCCACATTTCAGGCTGTAAATTCTCTAAAACAAAGACTGAGTCTTAGGACCTTCTGCAAAGGATTAAAGAGCAAAAGGGTAAAACAGCACTCACACAAATACCTGATCAGACAACATTCAGCATTTTTCCTAAAGCCACAGCATTCCACTTGGAAATGCAATGGGTAAGATTTGCCTCACCTTCTTCCTCCTCACTGCTCCCTGCGGGACCATCTGATGGCTTCTGGTGATTGACCAATTTGTCACTGGGTGTTGCCATGGTGAGGAGAAAGGCATAGCCCAAAAAGAGGGTCTTATTGTGGGGCAAGGGTCCATGATGGTCCTCCAGTACTGGGGCATCTACAGCATCTACACCTTCACAGGTGCTTACAAACTCTCCAGCTCTCACAGCCCCTGCAGAGAGACAGAAGCACCATGAGTCTCAAAAGTCAGGTTCAGCACAAAGACCCTATGTAAGATCTGGGATATATTCAACTTCCGTTATTTTACTGGAGGAGACAGAGGGAGACAGGATTGGGTTAGGATTACACTAGGATAGGTAGGGATCTTTTACCCTTCTGGTTGCAAAGAATCTTCAAATCAAAACCTGAGTGACTAATGGGACAATGTTCACCATCTATCAACATCCTGAAACAACACTTACTGCTGTGAAGGGTCCCTTTAACAGCTAGGCATTTCAGGGCTGACTAAACAGATAAGAAAAGAGATAAGGAAGGAGAGAGGCAAATCACAACATTAAGGTCAGAACATTTCCAAAAGGCAGAACTGAAAAGATGGCAGGTAAGTACTCGGACTATGCTAAAAACATCTCTGGCTGCTGAATGCATCCAGGGAGAATCAGTCTCAAATCCTGCAGGACAAACAAGCAATCCCGTCTACTTTTTGCTTATGGGAAGTGGAAAGATCAATTACAGAAATACCAGGGAGGAAAAAAATAGCTGAATGCAAGTTTAAGAGCAGAACATAAGGTTCTCACCAGGCTTTATCATTGCTGACTTGCGGCCACGTTTAGCTGGGGATCTCTCATCTTCAGAAGCAACAAGTTTCCTTTTCCCAGATAGTGTGCCTGGTGGGATGCGTGGACTCTCCTGCCCTTTACGAGTGGGAGTTGTGCTGCTGCTGGAAGTGCTGGGAGAACCAAGGTTACTACGTCGCTTCCGCTTCCCCTCCACAAGATTATCTGTAATATAGTATGCAGCGATTAGTCACTCGCTGTCACCTAACTCCACGAGCTTTCACCCTGCCTATATGTACAGAGGTGGCTAAACTCAGTAGTACCTAGAAGGTACACACTACCACCCTCTGACAGAGAAGAGCAAGAAAAAAAGATACCTCGCTTGTCTATCTTTCTTCTCAAGCCCTGTACCCTGCCTGTCTCTTTTCCTCCCAATACTGCTGAAGAGTTTGTATCATAGCAGCCATCCACCAAGTGTAAATGAGTACAGCAAGCATCACTGTCCTAGAAGCAGGCCACTCTCCACAAACCAGTCAATACCACTAAGTCTCTGAGCAAGACACAAAACAAGAAAAGTATCTCAAAGATCCCATTATAAAGTACCAAAAGCATTGCTAAATACCCAGAAGATTTAAACATGGGTAATTCAGATCAGGAACTAGAAGCATCTCAAAGGCACAAGACGCATAACAGCACAGCCAGCAGCTCAACAGCACCTCCCCTTACCAAGACTGATGTCAGCTGCTTTGGTCAGGGGGGTGACAGGTTCGTAAGGACCTAGCCCAAACTGCTCCCGGAGCTTATTTCCTTGTTCCAGAGACAGGATAACAGCCATTCGTTTGTACCACTTCCTCTGGCCTTCCTTTTCAATGCAGTAGTATAGCTCGCCAGACTCCTTCCGGTGTCCCTTCACCACACCTGACGAGACAGCAAATAACACCCATTAACCAACTATACCCAGGCTTCTCATCCTCCTGGACAAGCACCCATCTCCCATTGCATTCAGCAACTCAGAAAACCCAAGGATGGAGCTCAAGCACTGCTCTTACCTGCACTAAAGTACTCATCCTCTGAGAGTGCGGTCACCTCAGTCTCCAGTGGGATAGGATCACAGAGTAAAATATCTTTTCCTAGCACATCACATTCGTATCCATCATCAAAGAGCAGCTTGTACTTTCCTGCCCCAACATCTTGGGTAATCATCCCGGAATAGAAGTACCCATTTGATGACCACTTTGCTACAACCCTGAGGCCCACAAAGCTGCTCCCAGAGGATGAGTCTGCACAGTCCGAAGGACCAGTCACCACTTGTAATGGGATTTCTGGAGAGTCACTTCGACGTAAGGCACAAAAGCCAGAAGTGTCAGATTTCTCCCCTCCATCTGGCAGGCGAACTGAACGAGTAAATGATTTCTCCTCAGGTGATGCTGTAGTTGACAGATCCTCCACACCTGGCAGTCCAGCTAAATCTCTGTAGAAAAGAGAAAAGCCGTCCCAAAAGGAAAAAAGAGAAAAGCACTCCCAGAAGGATCAGGAAAGACAGCTACTAAACAAAGAATACTTGGGCAAGATGCTTGCAGCTGCTACATGCCACCACCGAAAACTAGTTCCTGAAACATTCAGTACTCCTTTTTCTCTGTCACACTAAGACAGCAACTCCCCATCCTCTTCCTTGGCAATAAATTAAAGTTACAGTCTCCTTTTTCCAGAGTACCTTGTTCCTGTTGTTCGAGATGGTGGGCGGCCTCTTCTTCCTCGCCCACGAGGTGTCACAGGTGCTCTGCCACCCTGACGAGTGCCAGGCATAGCGTCCTCCTCTTCCTCACAAGGCAGTGCTCCTGTCTGGCTAACTCTGAGTGGAGATGCTGGCTGACCAGCTCCTTTCCTAGGGCTAGAGAATTTATGAGTTAACTGTTCTGAAAAGAGAAGCCAGTTCATTAGGATCCCCCCATTTTCTCTGTGATCTCACAACAATTCTCTGGTCAAGAAGTTTGCCTCATCGCTGCTAAACTGGCAAGAGCTTAGGCAAAGCAATGCCTCACAAGGAAACAAACTACTCCTTTAGGAAGAACAGATGTGAAAACAAAGACTTATCTCCTTATTTCTGTTCATCATCAAGCCAGATCCTTCCCAGAAAATTCTTAGTTTAGGGTCTACCCTGCTTCATGCTCCACCCAAGCCCGCTGTTCACTTCTGCAAGTTGGAGTACCTGTTCTTCCTTTCTCAAAGCTCTGCACATACCTTAATTTTCCTAAGGCGCCTCTGCCAATGGGTAAAGCAAACTCTCCAGTTTCTGTCCCACACGCTTTCCCTTTGACGGCTCCAGTTCCTCGCCCTGAGCTGCTGCCACCGCTGTGTGTGGCAGAGTGACCACTGCTTGCTCCACTGGATGTACGGTGGAGGCTTGAGGCCTTAGATGAGAAGGAGCTAACATCACCAAGGTCCCCTGAGGTCAGTGATGAGCCCACTGCGGTTCTAGAGGAGGATGTGTCAGTCTCACACTCCTGGCACTCCACTACAGGCTCCTCAGTTTCCTTAAAAAAAAAAAAAAAAAAAAAAGAAAAAAGAAAAAAAAAGAGGTTCGTCAAAGGTGACACACTTGCTAGATGGAAGCTCTACAATCACCAGGCAAAAGTGCAGACAAGTTGACACCACATTCATGAAACTGGATAGCCATGCAGATTTGAGTCCGGACTGATCAATGGTAGACAGTGTGTCTCTCACTATAGGCCTGTAGCTGCTCTATATAAAGAAGTCACATTAAGAAATCAGTCAACAGGACAGAGCTTGGTTGGTATCAAATTAGTCTGGCTTTGAGTAATTCCCACCCTTCGAGAGTGTGAGTGCAACAAATACATGAGACGCTAACAGCCTTTGGTTACTAATAATCCAAGATCAATTTCAGACAGCTGGTCATTTGGAGCCATTAAAGTTTTATGGATATAAAAATATGTATCTACAAAATAGTGATATCAAATGGTGGTAGATAAATTGGAAATGGTTATATGATTGTGATTACACAACCTATGTAAGCACATTTCAGGAAACCTAATTATTTTAATGTCACAGTAAGTAATTTCATGTGTAGTATCAGGTGTGAAAGTATAAGCTTTGCACTGAACTAATTTATCCTTCTGCGTCATTACTCATTGTAACAACACAGCACAAGACTCTTATGTTATTTACCTTCATAGCAGAATAGCAGTAACACTTTATCGCTAGCAGGCTGATATGATTACTGTGCACATTAAATCAGCATTTGTCAGGTATCTTTTGAGATTCCCTAAAGATTTTCCGATTAATGAATGGACATGCACCAACACAAGTGTACTAAGAATAGGCTTGTTTATTTTTTAAGTTGCTTTTTGTAGACCTCTTATAGAATCTGGTCCACAGGATTCAAAAGAGTGCAGTTAAAAATGACAGAGCTGCAAAACAGGCTAAACTACCTTACATAGTTCAATTTTACAGGCAGAAGTGACTTTTGCTTACTAATAGAATTTCTGCCCATTCTGAAATCTCTCTATTCTGACAAAATCCCAAGAATTTTAAAACAGTTGGACACACATAGTAAAGTCTTTTGTTCAGTTCTTTGGGAAGAAAAAAAAGTCAGTGTGTCTTCAGAATACAGTAACGGGCATGAAATACACCAGCAACAAATACACAGCTTTCGCCATGCACTAAATGGTTTACATATTTGCTCATGAAGAAAAGTTTGTCATCACAGCACGCTAACTTGTTCACTCAACTTGTTTTCTGCAGCCACAACACATTCTCATTTTAATTAATTTTGTTTTTCAGCCAACATATCATTACATTTAGCCCTGAAAACAGGAACTTACCTCAACCACCTTTCGTTCCACCTCTGCACCATTTATGTAGTAAACGTCTGTTATAACACGCGTAACAACAGTGCGCACTTCTCGAATAGTTCGCATGTGGCGATGCTGAACTCGGCCTTTAGGTGGGTGAAGAAGATTGAACTCCTCCTCTCCCTGTAATAAACAGGACAAATTAAAACCAAAACAGACCACAATGAAAAGCAAATAATTTCTGGGTAGAGCGCTCTCTGCAGTACAGTTTCTTCATACCGTGTTCAAGTACTCAGGTAGGGAACCTTTTAGCATCTTGTTACAAATTAGATGCAACACCACAAGAAACCCTAAACAAGGGAGAATGGAACACATTTTGCTGACGGGTAGAGGAAGGGAAATCATAGCAGTCCAGGGAGGAAACGGCAAACTTGCTTAGCATGGCTTCTGATACTCTTTCATTCAGTGGACTCTCAGACATATCGCATCATGTTGCACTGCATATTTATGACCTTGTTAATCTCCTATTTCCCAGAGGACACACTATTCTTAACTCAAGTTTAGAAAAAATCATTTTTCTAGTCTTTGTGTTCACAAGAAAATATACAAGCTGGAACTGCAAAGCAGTGATTTTTCTTGAGTCTGCAGTACTTTCTGAAATACTAATTCAAAGTTATTCATCTTGTTAGAACGTTTCTCTGGAGGCGCTCTCCCCTCGTGTGTTTATCCATTGACATTGGATGGAGTGGCAGAACAAGCTGTCAGAAGTTGGCTGGTGCAAAAGAGGAGGCATCAAACCCTTCATTCAAAATTTCATGCAACTCCCATCTCCATCCAACAAAAAGTGAAAATTTTTTTTACAGTGTTAACTACATCTGGACACCCCCCCCCTCCAACCAAAACTTGTCATATTTTTCCAGAAAATAAATATGGAGACATTTACTTCCCAAACTTATGCTGCCCACTGAGTATTGCTACACTGAGTATTGCTACCTTAGCAGTTGTGTACAGTTGATACAGGACAGCTTGCAACATTAACATTTTAAAGTGTTTAATGTTAAACATTAACATTTTAAAGTGAAAAAAGTTGGTTTTTTTCAACAGAGAACCTACTGTTAGCGAATTTACTGGCTGAAGGGATACTTTACTGTTCTAAAGCAGTAACATTAAATACCGGCAGCCTTCATCCCACCTGACTGTGCAGAGAGTCCGTGTCCTCTCCAGAGGCGTTCACAAGCTTTTCCCCACTCTCCTCAGTTTGGACATTCGCATCTTGTCGCCCAGGTCTTTGCCCAGACATACTGGTTCCCAGTTCCACCTGCCTACATATTTCTTCTGACGTTTGTGTTGCTGTTGTAACAGTTGTTGGGGTTTTAAAAAGACAGTCTGCTGTAGTCTGAATCCCTTTATTCTCGGTGTTTGCCCACCTCTCTCGGCTTTCATCAATTTTAACAGCCTTACTTGGTTTCTTCTGCATTATTCTCCCTTCTTCTGTCTGAGTGCTTACAATACCAGTCTCCACAGACTCCCCATCCTCTGCACTAGAAGGTTGTGGTTGGCAGTCCTGCTGCATCCTCTGAGGAACTAGGACCTGTCCATCGCTGTCATCTGCCTTGTGTTGCTGGTACTGCCAACCACTGGGATTTTTATGTAATTCAGCATCTTCTTGTGTGCCAGGAAAACTGAAGAGATTCCCCCTGCAAACCAGTTATATACAGATCAAAATTACTGATTAAAAAAGCAAGACAACCAATATGCTGCCACTCAAGTGAAAGCACTATAAACACCCCCCCCCGGCAGTCATTCAATTCAATTGCTTCTTAAGATTGCACAGAACTCAGCGAGACTCAAATTATGAAATAATCTTTCAATATCTCTCAAGTGATTCACATGGTAGCAAGAAGAATGGCTGACACCTGTAGAGAACTAGGTGCTTTTCCGAACACTAATAAAGCAATCTACACTCCACACGTCAGGCACCAACTACGCAACATGCTTCTGGAAGTCATGCCATCTTGAAGTTGCTACAGGTTGCTTCAGCACTTCATTGGCTTGAAACTGGTAATCACACCTAGCAAGAAGAGGCAGGAGCATAAACACAAATGCTGTCTAATGTTTTCATTAGAATTTGTCTGCCCTGTCAAAAGTGTTATCAGGCACTACGTGGGACTGTATACTGAGCCTTACTAGAAGTATACATTTGGCTTCCCTCGTGTACTTGAGGACTTTGAGGAGTGACTGTCTTCCATTCTGTCTGTATATTGCCCAGCATTGGAACTCCCTATTTATTACGGTCGTTAGTGTAACTATTCAAGCTCTTGAAATATAGGTTACGCTTTCTCCGTAGACCAAGACCTCACTGCCCTATCAAAAGATAGAATGGAAAACACTGAAGAAGCAGATTTCTACACCTGGTCCTCCAGCCAGCACCCTTATCACCATAAGATATGCAGCAGTACAGTCCTTTTCAAAGCAACCAGAGACAGCAAAAATTGATGGACTTGGAAGGGAGACAACAGCAGAAACAATAACAAACACAATAGGTCAGAAGATCTTGGAACAGGAGAAAGAAAAGGTATTTAAACAGCTGTAAGTATGATCTCAGTTCTCTCAAGCCCCAGATTTTACCAAAGCACATTAGCCAGCTGGAATCACATCGCTGCTCAGTCAAAAAGGTAAGTCTGATTACCATGTGAGATACAAACATACAGTACTTATTATACTTACCCCGTTGTCCCCAACCTTCTAAGTCACCCAAAGACAATGACTTAGTGCAATTTCTTTGATGTAGAAAATGCACGTGCATATAAATCCAACCAGGACTGGCAGGCAAAGACTGTGAAGAGTTACCTAAATGGAGAAGTGGAAAGACCATGACCTCTGGCCTCATCCTCTCGACGAACTTCACAGACACGACTAAACACAGATGATGCTTTCTGGAAGCTAGCAGTGCAGATTTAAAACAAACAAACAAACAAAAAAGCATCAGGGAGTGAGAAAATCCCTTATACAGCAAAATAAGAGTTCTCTAGCCCCTTGGGAAAGCAACAACAGGTATTGAGCTTGTTGACCTATACAGCCACAGAATGAGTGAGATGTTTCTTGACCTTTGAGACTGACCAAGCTGCAATTGCATAAGCATTTCTGTCATTTCTGCAGACACCCTTACAGCCAAGAGCAATGTAAGGATTCCAGAAAACGTGGTGTGGAAAACTGCAGTGCCACCAGGAGTTTCACCATCTACTACCTCTAGTACCCACCAGGGGACACAGTTAGACCATTTATGGCTTATTTCTCAGGATTTTCTGACACCGCAAAAATATTGGGAATGACAGTCATAAAACAGACCCTGAGAGATCAAGTTCAACGTACACCTACAAAGGCAACCCATCCTCAACCAGTGAGGAATGACTGCCACACATCCTCAGCACTGAGGCATGATTACCATCCAGCATGCAATCCTGTGACAAGAGATACTAAGTTTATTTCAAAGTTTTCTCACTGCTTCAAACCATTATACTTCATTCAGATGACTACAGGTCATGATCTTCTGACTCAGATTCTTGTTAGTACTTACAAACCATACTCCCCAAAAGCTAAAATCAAGCAATGCTAGGCATTAAATGTGAGATAAGATAGATACATACAAATCAAAAGACCACGGGAGTAACTTATGTTAAGTCATGGTCAACATGTTAAACTGTGATTTCAGTATATCGGTGACCTGGCTGTGTTTCTATCAGCTTCATAACAAAACCAGAATTCTCTTTCAGAACTCCTCAGATATTCTTTGCAGAAAACTGCACAATAAGGAAAGAAAGCAGAAAACCATGTATTTGAAATTTAAGAGGTGGATAGGGCAGATGTGCATTCCGGACTGCACAAGACATGAATTTCTGCTTTGACTACAATCAGAAGGAGGCAAAATGCTGACATTAGTAGGAAGCACAAAGCCTGTAGTGAAAGAGCAGGTGGGGCACCCCCCTTGCCTATGTACTTAAAACCTGCTGCGAGAGCTAAAGAGTTAATATCGTGGCTACTGCTAAAAGTGTTCCCTGCTTCTGTGTCTCATTTTCATTTTTTTCCCCTGCTGCTGGTAACGAGTGGAAAAAGGATCTACCCAGACCTTCATATTAACTTTGCGCAGCAACAAGCCCAGTTACCTGGCAGCAGCTCCGGCAGCAGCAGAGGATCCATCTTTTTTGTCACTGGCTGTAGGCTCTGAAACAAGAGGGAAGGGAAGGATGATTTCGGTGTCACCTGAACAGACTGTCCTGCCCCTTCCCAGCCCCCCACACTCAGCGAAGAGAGAGGTTGAGTAATGCTGGACAAAGGGTGCCCAGGCCTCCCTGCCCAACTTCTCATCACAGACCTGAGTTTCTACAAGTTTTAGACTATTAGACTGAATGTCACTGTTCTGATGAAAATGCTGTCAAAATTTTTTGTCCGGATTATGCTTTTAAAATCTTTTCCTTCCCAATATAATCAAACTCCAGTTCCTGTCCTGTGACATTGCCACTATACATCACAATTTTTAGTCTGCCGGAAATACCCTTCCTCACCACAGAGGCCTCTCCTCTCACTCCATCCTTGCTTAGAGTATTGCAGAAACAGAGAAACAAATTTAAGTGACACTGCCCAAAAAGAAAAACAAGAAAAATTACAGAGACTAAGAGACTGTCTCGGGGAATGCCACAAAGAGGTTTTGAGTTATGGCTGAGATCTAGTAGGACCTGTATGTTTGGAGGTTTCATGCTCTTACTTTCCAAGCTGAATGGCAGGGACTCCTCGCTCCCATCATTCACAGGGGTAACAAGGCTCATTCGCAGAGAGAGTTTTGCATCAGCCTCAGGAACCACACGAGAATCTCCTTTCTCGCCCACTTCTGACACGTCTGCTGATACCATTGCACTTTCCACGGTGACGTTGTTGGTCCCCATTGTGCCCTCTGCTGTAACATCACTAGTTGCTATAGTGCTGTCTGGGCAACTATCATCCACTGAAGACATGAAAACAAAGAAAGGTAAAACAAAAAGTAGCTACTGTCATTCACACTGCTGGGGTTCAGGTCCCGGTTCTGTTTTGAAGATGCTTCACTGCATGCATTATTAGCAGTAGTGCAGTAGCGGAAATTCCTATCTAAAGTTCTGAAGCATGAAAGTTCTGTAGCACAGGTATCATCCTTAGCTTGCGACAGAATACTTTACTATTACCCAAGCAGAAATACACACTTCCTTTCATCCAGCAAATGCAGGGTGTTGTTTTGTGAACCTAGCAGAGAAAGTCCTCCTAAAAGATGATGAGTACTGGGAACAATCTTCTTTTAGTCTACACTCTTTGACTACTCAGAGGGGTCTTTTGCATTCTTTAAGAGAGTTGTCTTCCTTGCACTCACTGTGTTCCCACATACATGTTCCATACCACCCCCCATACTCAGGGAGCAAACACCTTCACTAGAGACCGAGGAGAGAACATAACAAGGAAAGTGTGGAGAAGGGATGAGCCCTCCCCATAGAACAGCAATGTTTTTTGCCAAGGTAGGTTTGCGTTATCCCATCAGATCCTGCATCAAGAATCAAAAGCTTCCAAACAGGCTTTCACTGCAGAACAGAGTCATTCGGGTCAAACTCACCAATTGGTGTGCTGTGTCTTCTGGGTCCCATTTTAAGCTGGCCAATAAGAGGTGGCGTTATGCTGGTCAAGGGCTGAATGACATCACCCTCCTTCGGCAAAGTAAAATGAAATGGGGTTCCTGTAAGACAGAGCGCGCCAGGATTAGTAATTTCAGGGGACTACTTTGGTCCAAATACCAAAAGCACAGGTTCACTGTGCTGTGGAAATGGGAAAAAAGCATAACCCTGGTGCTGTCCTGTACAACCCGCCCCTGAACAGTTACTGTTTCAGGACAGCTGCTCTAACTGATCCTCCTCACCTTCTGTGTGGAAAATCTCTCTCGGTGAAAATCTGGGCTGTGGTCAATTTGATGCAGCTGTCCCCAGGTGCTAGACAAAAGTGAGACTAAATATCCTGACATGAATAGGACTTTTAGAGAATGCAGCTTTGCTTCAGAAATGCTCAGGGATTTTCCACAGAAAAGGGAGATGACACCAGAAACAGAAGTGAAGGTTAGGACAGAAGTGAATAGGCAGAGCTGTGTGTTGCCTGAATTAATAACCTGAAACTTATACAGAATGATGCTTTATCATCAAATCACCTTGGATAAAAGGTCAGCAGATACACTTCAGATAGCCACCTATGAGCCCGAACAATTAGTAGCAGTCAATTAAGGTTTAGACGATGACAGCAGAAACTTGCCTGGAAAGTAAGCTTTAAGAGAAATAACAGATAGTGCAGTTTCATAACCAGCTGCAGGCTGCCACCAGAAGGGCTGGCCCCATCCTCCTGTCCTCTCCAATACTTCTGCCCCTTCTTGTACAGTCTCCAGCATAAAGGGCCTGCAGGGTCTATTGGCTGAGGTAGCCTATCCCATCAGGGAAACCACGCTTTGGTGGATTTACCATGTGTGGATCTTGCAGGATTTAACAGATAAAATACATTAAAAACCTAGTAAAATGCTCCCTCCTTTTGCCTCACCCCATGCCTTTTATTTGCAAACCTTCAACACCATATATCAGTAATTTGCAGGCTGCATTCTTTCCAAATTGCATAGAAGTATTTAACAAAACTAACAGAATAACCCTTTCCTCCCCACACTGAGGTCAAAATAGGTTTTCATCGTCTTTGTCACTATCCTTCCTTTTCCCTTTTTCCTAAAACTGTATTTGTTCTTTGTATTTCATTCAAGATATTACTCAAATAATGCAAGTGACAATTTACTTAACTCCTAACTTTTAAGAAGCATGTATAAAAAACCCCCCAAAACTAAACAGCATCGGAAAATTGTTAGTTAAGGTCACGAGAACACAAATTCAAGTTACTTAAATTCAAGAGCTAGCACTAGATATTCAGCTACAACTTTTAGTTATAGCCAGATGCAGTGCATCATTCTTCAGTTACACAAGACGCTGACATATGATTTACACAACTACCTTGTGGCAAATGAAGCCATAAATACATGACAAAGACATCATCCCCTCACAGAAAAAAACCCGACCAGTGAAAAGCTATCTATTGTCCGTTTGAAAACCATCATTTGCCCTGCTGTCACAAGTTTTAAAGATATGCTTCAGCAATTGCAACATCCTTGAGATCAACCTAAGGACTTCAGTGTATTTTTGCAGCGGGTAGGTATTTCATAGTGCAAGGGTACTCACACTTTGTGGGTACACCACATATCAAAAGGCCAACTACCGTTCCTCACAAATAGTTTATGCATGCCTGTCATATCACGACCTATAGCAGATCTCAATTTAAAGTGTTTTATTTAAAAACTTAAGTTTTTAGAAACTCCACTGAATTTTGATCAATTACAATCCCTTCTAGCTACCACAATCCCTTCTAGCCTACAAATCCACATTTTGCAGGCTAATAACAAACGATCAAAAGAATTTATGAAATGATCAGCCTGCATTTTAGTAAGATAACCTAGTTACTAAACCAACAGATACCGTTAGAGAAAACAAACAAGCTTTCACACTCAGAAGACCTGAAAAAAATGCATATGCCTGAAAGCTTAATTGCTTTCACATAACTGCATCAACTGTTGCAACAATGAAAAAGGTTAATTCTCTCTACAAACTTTTCTTATGGCCTTAAGACCATCATCCTATAACATTTCCTTTTACCTTCCAGCATCAAAAGATTGGGTCTTTCTTTGGCCCACTTTGTCTCTCTCAAGTTTGCTAATGCTAAGGTATAAAAAATTTCATTTGCTTGGCTAACACTTTCACAGGGAGAGCTGGATGTTTCTAGCACAAAACTGCACCCTCATAATGGATGGAGACAAAGGAATCTCCCAACTGTGTGTCAAACTAAGTGAATCAGAGCTATCATCCTCTTCTCTTCTAGATGAAAAGGTAAGTCCCACCGCCTTTTCTGCATACTGTGATGCTTCTTGCACACTACTACTACATGCATGGCCAACCTGCAGCTCTCAAGCAGTTCAAGCGCATCTCCCTCTGCTCTCGTTCTTCTCTCCTACCCATCACCTCTACAAGGGATGTGGCACATCTACTGTGGCTCTCAGCCACATGAAGATCTACAGAGAAGGCTAGTAGTAGTGGATGGCCACTCTGTTTTCTGTGCACACAGAAAGGAGGGAAAAAACCCCCAAACCCATCACCCCAAAGAACCCCATGCCTTCTATTTAAGAACTTTTGCCTTCTTTTTCAAAAAGCCCTTTCTTAGCTCTGTTCTTAACTCACTAGCACAACTATTTAATAGACAGGACAAAAGCTTGATTACATACATTTTTCTCCATTGGTAATTCATATCTAGCTGTGATATATCAAGAAGACCCCATTAGAAAATAAGAGACAACTTTATTTCCAGAAGTCTTCCAGATTAAGTCATCACTCTAGCCAAGCCTAAGGCAATGTTAAAAAGATTTAAGAGCTTGACAACACAACTCTTCATTATTTTAATAAAAATACTAACTTTTTATTTAACCTGGTATGCTTAAACTTTATCATAACTATGTTGACTGCACTGCTTATCTGTTTCTTCTTCATTTTATATCACCAGTAAAAAGATAACTTTCTGAATAAGGTTTTGTATGTACAAAACTGTACAATCTCCAAAAAGATTTCACAGACAACCACAACTTCTATAAACTCCATAGAGTCTTAGAAACAGACTTTAGTGAGTAAATTTCTTTTCCATACCCCTATATTCTACCACGTTCTAACCTTTGAGCATTTTTTAGTAGAGTAACTAAACAGTTAATATCTTACTCAAGGCAATTTCAAAAACAAAGACACCCCCCAAACCTCACCATCCAGTTTCTACTCCTGCTTCTTGGACTCTTCCCCAAGATCGTTCTAGTCCTCACCCAAAGTTTGTGCTTACTGATGTATGCTTCATAATCTGTTGATAAGGGATTAGACTCCTGTTGGAAATAACTATTATGAGAACAAAGCTGCTTTAAGAGAAGAGGGATGCTCTCAAGCTCTTCATGTCTTAAGGACTGAGTGATGGTAAGAGAACAAATATCACTCCACATACTTTTCCCCCATGCTTCATGAGCCTGAAGACAGCAGGCAGAACATCTCAAAAGCCTGAACTCTCTCCTAACACCAATCAGCCCTTTAGTGAAATACAAATGTGCAAAACACAGCCATCAGCATTAATTTCTGAGTTCATTTTCTCCAAACAGCGGCTTACTGTTCTCTTTCAAAAGTAAATCCAGCCAAGTGTGATGTGTTTAAGTTGCATTTAGATTTATCCAAGAAAAAATGTTTCGAGTACAATATAACAAGGGAAATGTTACCTCAAGTTAAACACAATTTTGTTCACACTCTCTTAAAAAGGAAGTTTTGGATTGTGAACTCTGTGAAAGGCCATACTGAAGTGGAACGTAACATTCAATCTTGTTATGTAACTACAGCTACTCGTCTTTATAGAATCATAGACTAGTTTGGGTTGGAAGGGACCTCTAAAGGCCATCTAGTCCAACCCCCCTGCCGTGGGCAGGGACATCTTCAACTAGATCAGGTTGCTCAGAGCCCCGTCCAACC